TAATAATAATATAATAATAATAATAATAATAAATATAGAGAAAATGAAATAATTTGTGATTTTACCATGAAGGTGGTTTTTCCGGTGTGGCAATCGCCCAGTATAGTGACCTTCAAGGAGACTAAATCGGAGTCGGCCTCATAACCATAGCTGCCGGTGGTGGTATTGAGGTCCCATTTTTCGCTTTCTTCCGACGACGGCGGAGGTGAAAAGGGGATTTTTTCTGGGAACAATTTTGTGTACCTATTATGAGGCATCCCTGTGGAGCACATCCGGATTTTCTCCCAAATTAACCTTAAGATTCGCCGGAAAACGGCGACCCTCTCTACTATCCTCCGCCGGACGATTTTCCGACAGAGCTGCGTCATCTTTTCCGGGAGGGTCTGTGTGCTTTTTGGTGGCCTGTAGGTTAAGAAGAAGGAAGTGGGGGAATTGAGAGTTGATTGTATTATTTTGAATATTCGGGTTTTCCTTTTTGTTTCATTCTTTCTCACTTTGTCGCAATGATTTATTAGTTTACTTACACCAATAATGTGTTACATTAATTAATATTATCATTAAATATAGTTTGTTATCTTGTTATTTTAACTAATAAATGATGCAGGATGCTAATGTAGCTGAATTAAATTATTTTACAATTGTTTTTCTTTTAATTATTTTCTTAGATTTTTAAGTGGATCTCCACATCTTTATGTATTATTAAACTTAAATTGTATATTTATGATTTTTTTTATTTTTTTTATTTATATATATATGCTTACATTGCTATTAGCCTAGTGTTATCGTAACTCAAGAAATTGGGAAGCGATGGAATATGTGCGACCCAGGTAGTACAAAAGTAAGTAAACCACCTTCTCATGTCTCCGGACCTTCAACCGATCTTAGCTCGGACATGCCAACAGCCAATACCGACTCCTTTCCCTGGGATAGCTAAGATAAACTAATACGGCTTTCATCCCTTATCTCTGATACTACCCTTAGGACAGGACTAACGAAAGTCATTTAATAGCAGATAAACAGAAGTGAAACCCTCACACGAGAGCAAAAAAGAAGGCTTTCATTAAATTCGCCCATACAATAGAAGAGGGGGAGCAGATTCTATATAAGAGTTCCTTTTGTCCCACTTGTCTCAATAGCCGGCAGGTAATAATCATAAAGTTAATAATAAACCTTGGAGCCGCCCATGCAACAACGGTTTTTTTAAGTAACCTCTGTCGGAAGCGCCCTTTTTCACATTAC